TACATTAACACAGGCTCTAATTTGGGACCAGAGAAAATCTCTCTTATATCCGGGTTTCTCTTATATCCGAGTTTGGTCTATTTTATATACATTAACACAGGCTCTAATTTGGGACCAGAGAAAATCTCTTATATCCGGGTTACACTGTATATGAACTCATATACATAAACGAACAGATAAGTGAACCTTGACGCAGTGTAATGATTAGCAAGCTTGTCTCGACTGGGTAATGAGTTCGAACCTCACTGGATACCCCATACTTTCGGCCTTGTGACGCACCTAAGCTATGCCTAGAAAATCACCGTAAACGAACGTGTACAAAAAGTAAGGTTCTGTCGATATCTACATACAGTGATGGACTGGGTATAAAAATATTCGTTGTCGGGAGGTAAAGGGGGCTCTCCCACTACGACAATGCCATCATTTAATTGTTCATAATAAATAATATTTTCAGTACATACATATACAAAATAGTATACTTAATTTCTTGTGGTTAAAATGTGTATTTCTTAGTAATTACTGTGTACATGTACTGTTGCATAATACTTGCAGTAGATACCAAATGTAAATACAGTATTGTTTACACTACATTGATCGGACTGCTGTCCTCATCGTTGCTGCCATATAAATATAGCGACAAAGATGAGGACATCCATGCGAAGAATGTAAATACTGTATACTACTAAAATACATCATCTAAGAAACATAAAGAGGCAAATACAGTATGTTTTAATTGAACTAATTAATTTATTAATTTTAAGTAGTTGGTTGTATTTTTAAAATAACTTACTGCAGAATTACAGATAATCAGATAACGCCAAAATCCAAAAGAGCATTGCATACAGTCCACTATAATAAGGGCAAATATTTGTGGTCACCAGTTGATTGTTGAAATCTGCCAATAATTGCTACTGTATCTAATTCATCTAACAATTCATTTTTAATGCATAGCAACATATGTGATTCCAAATTCTCATCAGACAGCGAACCTCTTAAACTTGTCTTCATGATATTTAGCTTTGACTTGATTCATACCTTTCCCAGAGGGCATTTGCGCTTAAGTAAATATAAAGAACCCGACTGTAATTAGAACTCGGCACTCCAATTTCCAAATCTGAGCCGTGATCTGATACACGAACCGCACGTCCGAACTGAGAGCACTTGGCACTCTTAAGCGGTCACCCATTTAAGTTTTGACCAGGCTTGGCGTTGCTTAAATTCGATGACCTTCAGCGAACCGGTGTTTCAACGAGATATGTCTGTGGACTTTACATTGAACTTGACTTTATAAAGTTCTTATTCTTCTTTTATAACTAAAGAATTGTCTGTTTTATTCTATACTGAATTTTTAGACTTTATCAATGCAAGCGGAGTAGTAAACTGGAGATGATGTGTCATCGATTTATAGTTGTGTTGGCTGCAAGTGACCCTAAGTTCTATGCTAACAGTTTCTTTTCTATGACTTCATGTGGAACTACCTTCCGACTCCATGCTTTCCAACCAACTATAATCTGTAAAAATTTAAATGCAATGTCAATCGCTATCTACTGTTCTTCTGATTACTGTTCTTTCTTTCCCGCTCCTTTGTAATGTTTCTGTTCTTTAATTCTTCTACTCAGTAAATCCTTGTGTGTTATTGACTTTACTAAATTGCTTGGGGTAAACACGATTCAAAGCAATAGGGGTTCACTTGCCATTAGGCATGTTAGCACTGGAGACAATCCGCTATTGTACACACATAAGAAAAGACTGAAAAAGAAAATGACAAAATAATCTAGGTTTATATCATTTTTTTTCCTTTTTAAGATTGGCTTTCCAGCTCGTTCCAAAATCTACTTCAACTCTATACTTATAACGTATCGCCTTAAAGACTGAAGTTTTTTTCCACTATTTATTTATTTATTTATTTATTTATTTTTCCTCAAATGTAGCAGGCAGGTTCCTACAACGCCCGGTTCAAACTTCGCCCAAGTTTTTTTAACCTGAGTAGATGTTTATCCCTGGTTTCCTATTTAGGATTGCTTTTCTTTATCATTTTCTTTCACTCTCAGTACGTCCTTGCATCTTAGTGGCATTATCACCTTGTTTGGGGTCGATTGATTAATATATATGTATAAACTATGTAACACACACGCATATATATATATATATATATATATATATATATATATATATAACAATCATATATACAGTTTTATATAAAACAGGCATATATATATATATATATATGCCTGTGTTTTATATAAAAATGTATATATATATATATATATATATTGTGTTTTATATAAAAATGTATATATATATATATATATATATATATATATGCTTTGTTTTTATATATATATATATATATATATATGCCTGTGTTTTATATAAAATATATATATGATATATATATATATGACAAATTAATAATAGCTGGACACCAGTATTCGAGTATATCCTCCCACAAGATCGACTAGACTATCCCTTTTGCAGCGGCTGGCTCAGGCACATTTTTGTTAGCTCAACACCCATATAGCCCACTTGTGGTTTATACTGCCACTATGCTGAGCAGACTTTACTTACACTTTCTGGAAGAGAGCGTGTTATCTAGTGTGATCAAAAATTTGAACAAGGGCAACACGCTCAAGCCCTCGGCCATGATGACTTGTGGCTTCGTGCTTGCAAAGCCATCGACAGCCCACTAGAGTTCCGTCTACCCAATTTCACTCACAAGCCTGAGGTCAACCCGTGGTATGATTTTCAGGCACTTTCCAAAAAGTCGCGCTGGTATCGACCTCAATCCAGCCCAATAACACCAGGAAGATTATATAACACACACACACACATACATATATATATATATATATATATATATATATATATATATATATATATATATATAATATTAGTGGAAAATATACATACATATAAGAAAAATATATCTAAAAATTCCCATACATGTATATTTTCAGAAAAAATTTTTTCAAAGAGGAAGGATCCAGGTAGAACTCAATGTGTCTAAGACAGAGTAAGGATATAATAAAAAAAACTTAAACACTAATATTCCATGGTCATAATTTATTCCATTGGAATCGTAAATACAGTCAAATCATCAGACCTACAAATTCAAAATGAAAACAGAAAAAAACAACTCCGGGAAATCAAACAGAATTTAGAGAAAGTGTATATATATATATATATATATGTGTGTGTGAAAATATATAGAAAATAAAGGAAAAAAGAACTGGTTAGGTAAATAATCCAAAGTTCCTTAGTATTTTAGTTATTTTAAAAAAATAGTGCTCGATACAAAAGTAGAGCATATATATATATATATATATATATATATATATAACATGACAAAATAATCTATACTACAAAGGAAGTGCTGATTCTCAGTCCGTCCCATAGGCGAAATCATATGCACTATGTAATCTATATGCCTATGTATGTTTTGTGAGCGTGTGAGTGGTTTTTGTGTGCTAGTAATCTTGAATCATGAGTCTAGGCCGAAATAGATAAGATAGGCTGCGAGTGGCTAAATTGATATTTTCAGTCAAGAGCAGAACCTAAGAGAGAAATATTTAAGTCAAAGACTAAAATAAATAAGTGGTAAGATTAAAACGATATATGTAGATGTATGGGAATAGGCCGTCACAGAGACAGATATCTAGACAAAGCTAAAATAACCTGGTTCGATTAACATGAGTAGATCGAACGACATAGGTATATAGATAAAGTCGCGAGAAGAACGAAAGATCTATTTTAACAGAGACACATCAATTGATAGATCAGATAGATATGGGAAGAGTTATATATAACATTTATGTTTTCGCCTGACAATAAATATTGTACAGTAAATTGTTCGAGAAAAGTGCATCCAAGCAAGGCGAGCAGATTCTTGAAAATTAACTATATTGTTATGTTTTATTTTTTTTTAAAGTGTGATATATATTCATCATTTCAATTAATATATCGGACCCTGACGAGCTGGACGGTACCTCTGTGAAACTAAATCGGAAGATAAGTCATTTAAAATTCAGTATTTCTTTATTAGAAACCAAATCAAACTATTAAATAAGAAAAATGGATAAACAGATATTTACTTTGCCATTTAAGAATTATATATATATATTATTTTGAGGCCATTTTTCTGCTTCGTTTGTGGCATTAATTTGCAACGACTGAGTGTATCACTAATTCCGAAAAGTGTGGATGGTTCTGCACAAGCCTTCACAACTTTAATCGAACCACTTGTGTGGGTTTTCTAGCGGTTTACCATGATTCGTGCATTTTTATCCACACAGTTTACTTTCAAGGTCCGCTGGCGAGAGAGTGAAGGCGACGGGGTCAGGTAAAGGATATTACTGGAAGGCTCTAGCTGGAGCTCTACACAGTGGCAGACGGAAGGGTGATGGCCGTTCTTTCACAAACCGAATGATCTTGTCAGCTGTCAATATACCCCACAACACCATCGAGCGCTTAGCCTTGGAGCGGGTAGAATAGAGATCAACGTGTTTTAGTGGACTTAGCAGTTTTCAATCAGCTTGTCTGAATCGTCTTCACGAAGCGAGAGCAAGATCTAAAAGGTCAGCCAATCTAACAGTGATGCCATCCCACAATCCTTACTCATGCTCCATATGCGGTCTCCTTTGTAAATCATTAGCGGGTCTTAAGTGCCACTTAAGATTATCGCACAAAATTTCATGACTGAATCAATTAAGTTGTCAGATGCTCATACGTTGAAACCAACGAGAGAGTCCATTATTATTAAAACAACGAAAGCAGTAATAAACAGAACCTTCCATAACTGACACCATTATAGTTAAGATAACACAAAGTCAGTTGAAAAAATAATTAGTTCATAAGGAAATAAATTCGAATACACCTATTATTTCGAAATGGTTATCTTAAGACGACTCCAGAAGATCCGAATAAAATGAATTGCCTTAAACTAGTTTCTGTCTGTGATACACGAAATGACAGTTCTTGTATTATTTTTTTAAACTCAGAAATCAAGGAGAAAAAGAAGGAAGAGGAAGAAAGAGAGAAGAACAGAGAGATAGAGAGAGAGGACAAAAGAGAGAGGGGGGGAACAGAGATAGAGAGGGGTGACAAGAGATAGAGAGGGGTGACAAGAGATAGAGAGGGGTGACAAGAGATAGAGAGGGGTGACAAGAGATAGAGAGGGGTGACAAGAGATAGAGAGGGGGTGACAAAGAGATAGAGAGGGGGACAAGAGATAGAGAGGGGACTAGAGATAGAGAGAGAGGACAAGAATAGAGATAGAGAGGACAAGAGAGAGAGGGAGAGAGGGACAAAGAGAGACAAGAGAGAGAGAGAGAGGAGGACAAGAGAGAGAGAGGGAGAGAAGAGAGAGAGGTCAAGAGAAAGAGAGAGAGGTCAAGAGAGAGAGGACAAGAGAAAGAGGACAAGAGAGAGAGGGGAACAGAGAAAGAGAGAGAGAGGACAAGAGAGAGAGGGGAACAGAGAAAGAGAGTGAGGACAAGCGAGAGGGAACAGAGAGAGGGTGAACATGGAGAGAGAGAGAGGGTGAACAGAGAGAGAGGGGTGAACAGAGAGAGAGGGGTGAACAGAGAGAGAGGGGTGAACAGAGAGAGAGAGGGGGGGTGAACAGAGAGAGGGGGGGTGAACAGAGAGAGAGAGAAAAGACAAGAGAGAGAGAGGACAAGAGAGAGACATCGATGGACAGCGAGCGAAAGAGAGATAGAAAGACAGATAGACACAGGCAGAGACAGGGACAGTTGAAATAGCTAAATTCAACCGCCAATTCTACTCCAAAAGTTTCTTTTCTCGCACTTCCCACCTGCGGAACTCCTTTCCGTTGACTTGTTTCCCCGCATAACTTAAAATCTTTAGAAATTTAAATGCGACATCAATCGCCATCTTCTGTTTTCTTGAATGCCGTTAATCTTTTGACAATTCTTCAATCCTTCCAATTCTCAGTATTCTCTCTCACTTTCAGTCCCTGTATGCGTCTGCGCACTCGTGGCATTTCTGTCTTGCTTGGAGTGAAATGATTTAAAAATATATAACCGTTGCCGCCTACCGGCTTAAATTTGGCATAATACATTAAATTGGAAAAACCTTGCCTTGCTACCCGTAATCCACCCTTAAGTATCATGTATAAATAGTCGAGTCAACAGACAAGTGAAATGATCTGAAGATCGTTTCCAAGTATGAAACAGATTGTCGCCAATCGGTGTTGACCTTAGTGTCCATTCTTATTTACGCATGGTCTATCCTTTATATTGACTATTTTTATCCATAAATATAGCATGCATATATATATATATATATATATATATATATATATATATATATATATGTGTGTGTGTGAAAATATATAGAAAATAGGAAAGAACTGGTTAGGTAGATCCGAAGTTCCTTAGTATTTTAGTTATTATTTTTTTAAAAATAGTGCTCGATACAAATGTAGAGCATAAATATAATTATTTATTTAAAAATATGATTAAAAATATGTCGCGAGTTGGAATCATATTTTTAAATAAATAATTATATATATATATATGAAAATTTCTCGGACATTCAGGCCAGTAAAAGTCGTTAATACTGTTTATTATGAACAGAGCATTTACTTAATTGTTTGTATTTATAAAAAGAACGTTTAAACAAAAAATGTCTGAATATATATATATATAATATATATATATATATATATATATATATATATATGTGTGTGTGTGTATAATGATACGTAGGTATGAGCGGGAACCAACTGAAATGAAGGATATGATGTACAGATTTATATATCAGTCTAATAGTGGGTAATTGTGTGACAGATGATCGCTTAATCATAGAATCCAGAATTCTATGTCTCTGTAAAGATTTAGATCTTCAACCAATGACGAAAACTTTTGGCTCAGCGTCCAAAGCTGGCGTCAAGATAATTGGAAAAACTCAAACAAGTGGAGAGGTGAATGAAATCGAAGATCGAATATATATATATATATATATATATATATATAGAGAGAGAGAGAGAGAGATAGATAGATAGATATATGTATTGAAATGATTCCTTATCAAGATAGAAAATAAGTAATTTCGAAATGCTAAGGTCCATAAAAATGTAACGACTTCGAATAAAGAAGCGACCTGAGACATACTACGTTTAAAGAAAATTTATCTTATATATATATATATATGAGAGAGAGATACATTTAGTGACTTTTTCCTCGTGACGAATAAGGACATGTCGTTAAGTCATTTTACAAATTTACACCTGATGTCGAACAACTTATTCGATACCAAGAAAAACAAACCAAAAAGGTATATATATATATATATATATATATATATATATATATATATATATATATATATATATATATATTTATGAAAAACTTGGTAATCCGTATGGGTAATCCCAAGGATGATGAAATCCTGAGAGCTCAATGTAAATCCAGATCTTATATATATATATATATATATATAGCATAATTTTCTTCAAACAGGTTTGGTTAAATAATTTAGACATATGTCGATTAATTTGGTTGTGATCCTATCAAGTTCACGGATTTCTTGATATCCTTACAAAATTGATTAAGAAAAATATCAAAATTTTCTTTCAAATAGTTTTTATTTTCCCCAAGTACTTTCAGTCTGGATTGCGACTATCTTCGGGGGTTTAAATTTTCTGTGAATGTGTATATGTATTTCTGTAAATTCAAATCTTCGTTTGACTGCGTTACGCAGCGTTCTAGATTTCAAAATTCACGTTTTTTTTCCACAGTATAAGGGCGATAACTTTTTAATATTATATATATATATATATATATATATATATATATATATATATATTCTAAACATTGAAGAAAGTTGTTGCTATACTCAGGTGACTTTATTTTTGGGATTTACTTTTATATAAAGTGCTTGAAGGATTTTCAGTTTTTGCTAATTGTTATTTTTATGTAATATAAATGTATTTTCAACTAATATCTGTCTAAACTGTGAGTGTGAGCATGCATGTTCCTTTAAATGCTGCGAGACTGAACTATATATATATATATATATATATATATATAAGTAACAAAGCTGGGGTGACAGACATAGTGAGCGTAGGTGATATACAGGTTGTGTGTGTATAGGAGAGATATAGGAATACATGTGTTTTGGAGAGAGAGATATAGTTGTGTTTTGGAGAGATAGAATGATATGTGTGAGTTAGTGAGTGAGAGAGAGAGAGTTATCTGTGCGAAAATTTGAAATCTCGTTAATTCTGTTTTGTGTACACGGCGCTTGTGACCTTCGATAAGTCATGTCTTTTTTTCAGATGACTGTTAAACATCAAGGCAGACTGGGCTCTCTTGCTTTGATGGGGACGCCTGAATTCTAACCTAAGTTAGAAACTTACTTTTATACTGAGTACCATTTTTCTGTTTATAATTCTTCAGAGAAGTAATAGCTCATTATATACAAACCTGAACAATTACGACTGAGTAGTGAGTTCGATCCTCACTGGGTGCCCCATATTTTCGGCCTTGTACCACATCTGAGCTACGCTTTGAAAATCGCTATACAAACCTTCCCTACTCTAGTGAAATCATCCGTGCATTGCTGCCGTTTAGTTATATACTGATATTAGATCCTAATCGGTATAAAATCGATGGATGGGTAATTTATATATATATATATATATATATATATATATATATATATATATATTACACAACAGAGAAATCCAAAGTTACTTCATGGTATAGTCTATTTCAATTGACACCGAATACATCAGTCGTATAGACTGCATTCAGCGTCAGAACTAGAAATTTAAAATTTAATTAACAAAGACAGCAGTTGAAAAATTGGTATAGAGCCTACTCATATCGAAGCCTCAGCAGGTCAGACTGCCCAAGTAGTGGTAAGGGAGGTCTATATTATTATAACAGCATGGAAGACCGTATATCTGGCAACAGGACTCCGCACCACGCCACACATGCAGGAGAAACCAGTCATCGCTGTCAGAGAATTTCTGCGTCATCACCCTTACATCTGACCACCTATAAGTATTATGTGTGTTGAGCGAGAGATCAACACAACTCCTTGTAGCACTAAAGATAAACTGAAGGCAAAGATTATGGCAGCATTCGCAAATTAAACAAAGGGACCGTCCAGAAGAGGTGTAGGAGATTCCGAAGTCGTCTGGAGACCGTGGTTGGACCGAATTTAAATGGGAATTATGTTTAAGCCTCTGATGATTTCTTGGTTTTTCTTTCAGATTTAACAACTTAAGTCTTTGGTAATTTCAAACATGGTTAGATTAACAATCAAACAATGTGTTAAAGTTATCGAAGCCTATTACCAAAACGGACGTTCAAACATAAATGCAATGAAAGATTCCCAGGTCGCATCATCTCTCGAAACAGCGAACTCACTTGGCCACCACGATCGTGCGACTTGACGCCTTTAGATTTCATTCTTCGGGGTCATCTCAAAAGTAAGGTCTATGCCAACAGGTCAACAAGAATTCAATAGATGAAGGACGAGATAATAAGGAATGTTGGTGAGATCGAGAAGCAGCTATGCACAGACGTCATCAAAAATTTTGACCATCGAGTAGAGGTGTGCCGCCGAAGCCTTGGCGGACATTTGCGTGATATCTTTCACGCATAATTTCCATGACTTAAATTACATGATCCAGTAGAGAAATAAATAAATTTTCACCAATAACACCGATTTATTTACTGCTGACTTTGATCCCTCTTAATGAAACACCCTTTCTATAAGATATTTTTGTGTAATTTTGATAAATATATCTGTTAAAATGAGATGTCAATGTTATTTTCATTTTTGCCTAATTTAGACAACAATTTATCCATCGCAACTTTGTGTCTGCTGCATATATATATATATATATATATATATATATATATATATATATATATATATATATATATATATATATATATATATATATATATATAGGAAGATGATTTTATTATATTACGTATATTAAATCCAGAAGAGGAGAAGTGAGCTCGTTAATCGATATGTCGAATATAAATGAAGAAAGTTGATGAGATTACGCCTACAATTTTTCTCTTCATATTTATCCATATGTGGATTCTTAATGTCTCGGATACTAACTATTTAATATTTTTGTCGGCTTGCTGAACGAAATATTATTTCCCTTTAATTTTTTTCAAGAAAATTTAGGATCTGTCAGACTGTTGAAATCTTTTGCCGTTACTATAGGAGTTGCGAAAATAAATTCTATTCGTCATCACGACTAATTAAGTTCAAATTGGTGCATTTTTATTGTTCTGAAATTTAGTACCTGAAACAAATTCTTGAAAGTGTTTGCCGATGAATAGAGTTACATTACTCCGTCGTTGTATGCTAGATAATTCCGATTAGGCGAATATATATCTTATTCAGAATATCTCTGAAAAAAGAGTGTCTCAGATAATTATAATTTACTACATTCAAATAACTGTGTGTAACTTAAATACAGTTCATCTTTGTTCATAGGTAAGTGCATATTTTAGATTCTTAGTAGCTTGATCTTTAGATTATAATTAATATCCTCTCACCTGAATCAACTATCAACAAAGAATTTGAACCGTATAGGCAAAAAAAAAAAAAAAAAAAAAATAATCTGATTTTTTTTTTCATCACTATCTTTGCCGCCTGCCATTATTGTATTGGACTGGCGCCGCACAAATAGACCGTTTTTGAGTCTGGCCAGCCAAGTGACATTGGTGATATTCCATCTCCAAAGAGGAAATATTCCAAAAGGAAGCGAAGAGGCGGAGGTACAGTTCCATCCAATTAAAACAGACGTCACGTCGAATATTTTTCCTCAACTACTCGTTACACGCAAAGCTCCCCTACCCACAAAAAAACAAAACAAAAAAAAATTGCTACTTTCCCGTTTAATGAGGAATACATTTTTTTCTCCATTTCTGAACAAAAGATAGCCTTTGCCACAGATCAAACACATTACATGATAATTGCAACTCTAGTCTCTAATCATTACAGTCACCCCGATTAGATCAAGTATTAAAAGCGAGGGCCAAATCTTGTAAAGGTCTACAATTGATCTAAAACAACATCTTAACTAATATTTTCTCTACACAAAACCAATAAATATAAACATACTTAATTAGGAACCTTGGAAATCTATACCACCTTTTTTCCACTTTTCAAAGCAAGACCTCTTTAGCTTTTCTTATGCTGTATTTTTCACCCAATAAAAGGCTCAATAGCCACTCAAAGAAGAAGAAGTTTTCTAGATGAGGTTGTTGCCCAAGAATTTAAGCAGAACTTCTCATTGAGACGGAAACCTGGTGCCCGAGTGATGGACCCAGACACCGGGACAAGCTCAGTCGTTTCATAAGTACCTTTACCTGTTGCGGCATTCATCCGGTCGGTTGATCCATCAAACAAACCCACCGCACCCGAACGAAAGCTGATCAAGCATAGAAGAGGTCGCATTCATTCGGACATGCATGTTCATATCAGATCCATTAGGGATTCGGATTCACAAGCGGTCCCAGTCGCCTATATACGCACCTTCAGTATAGTGTGATCCGGTTTGAATTCAGAGTTTCTTTCTTCTAGACTAGTTGCCAACTAAGGCTATAAGATTAAATCTGTCTTGATATTTTACCCATAGCTGGGAAAGAAGAGATGGACTCGTATCTTTCCCAGTAAGTGAATGTAATTAACTCATCCGGAATTCGAAATCGGGTCTCCGATTCCACAATCCAGGTCCCAAACTATTAATAAAATGGCTAAATGTATAGTCAAAAGCGCTTGGAACAAAAGAACATGCGGACAGTTTTTATATAATTTATCATCTGAAAATAAAATAGATATTAGATCTCATGAGAAATTGTATAAAAAAAAAACTTAAATCAAAGCAGCTTGTCTGTCGTATTCAATGAAATGTGCATATATATATCACACATTATGAAATGGACAAAGTCCGACAAAAATTTTAAGACATTTTTATGTTTATACATTTCTTTTATAGATACAAATATTTAAGTAAATGCTCTGTTTATAATAAACACTATTAAACAAAACATTTAGCGGCCTGAATGTCAGTTGGACGAATATTTTCTATGAAAATTTCTCGGACATTCAGGCCATTATAAACAGAGTATTTACTTAAATTTTGCATTCACAAAAATGTATAAACATAAAATGTCTTTTATATATATATATATATATATATATTATACAATTATTAACCCGGATATAAGAGGGATTTTCTCTGGTCCCAAAGTGTTCGCATACTTACCTAAACAAAATAGACCCAACTCGGATATAAGAGACACCCGGATATAAGAGACTTCTACTCTCTCTCTCTATATATATATATATAAGGTGGACTCCTGTCATATTCGACGTATCAGGGTCAGCAACTCGCTTCATAGCAATAAACAGCCAGACACATATGATCCACAGTTTGTGAATTCAGTTTTCCTTCTCCTAGACCAGTTACCATCCAAGGATATAGAAACCAGTCTGTCCTGCTAATTACCCATAGCTGGAAGGAGAAGAAGGGAATTCATTCCTTTCTGAAAGGTTTTAGAACGTAAGTGAATGTAATAGATTCGACTGGAATTTGAACTCGCCTCAGTCCGTGCCGCTACCCTGCCTATATATATATATATATATCTATATATATATATATATATATGCAAATTAGTATTTCAGGAAATAGATATTGGAAAGAAAGCGTAGCGCAGATTTATATTTTGATATATATATATATATATATATATATATATATATATGTGTGTGTGTGTGTGAATTTTTTTCATCAAAATAAAAAATGAAATATTTTTCACAATTATCTTTTTTCCCCGTTCCCTTTCCAAAATGGCTGACGCCTCTTTCAAAGCAACGCTTCTTTTCAGTGTCATCTCTCGCTTCGTCTACTCTGCTGGTCTCGAGAAGAAAGAAACCGCCCGCTTCCAATAAATTCTAGTTTATCTTCGGTCCGGGATACGAGCAAGCTTCCTGGTCTCCGTGGTAAAGTCGTATTTCACGTCGCTTCAAATCGCCGACGTTCACTTGCCTGGCAAACTTGTAATGTCTTAGTGACTGATATGAAAAGCAAGGCTCTAAATATGCCTCAACTTTCGGCATATCTTTTCCACACACAGGCACTCATTTATATATATGTGTGTTTCCGTTTCTATCGCGGTTATATTTAATGTTTTTCTTTCAAATATTTCTTCATTGAGTTTTTTTTTCCTTAATTTCTTGGCTTTGCTCACTTCAGTATTTGCTTTTAATTTGAACGGCTTTATACGTTACGTTTTTTTTTTCCTTTTATTTAATGATTTCCTTTTAATTCTTGTCTGAATCCTTCTGCCTCATTCGAACTGACCTTTACTTAATGAATCTATATCTCTGTCTGTAGTGTCGGCTTTACTTCCAAGAACAGTGCCTCCTCTTGTATCCACTTTCCTTTCTTTCAAATGTTCATTCTTTTAATTATGTCTGTCCTATTTCTGTTTTTGCTTTGTTTTCCGTTTCCGATTTTCCTTAATTCCTTCAATTTATTTTCAGTCTTTTCTTTCTATCCCCCTTCCGATATTGCCTTTTTATCGTTTTCCATTTCTTTCTTTAATTTAGCCTCTGTGCTATTTTTTCCTTTGCACCTCTTGCTTTCTGTTCACTTATCTATCTTTTCCTCGACCGTTTTGTTTGTTTTTTCCACCCCACCATCTTTCTTTCGTCCACTATTTTTTTTTTTTTACTTTCAGTCTTTCTGTGTCTTCTTTTTTCCTTTCATTCAGTCTTCGTGGCTATTATCACTTTCAATCTATCGACCTGCATTTCGTTTTCTGTCGTCCTCTGAATCTTAATTCTCCTTATTTATCATTAGCTTCAAATTTTTCTGTTCTTACATTTTTGTCATTTTCTGTTATACAGTGTAACCCGGATATAAGAGAAACCCAGATATAAGAGATTTTCTCTGGTCCAAAAATTAGAGCCCATACTTACCTAAACAAAATAGACCAAACCCGGATATAAAAGAAACCCGGATATAAGAGACTTCTCCGATCCCGACAACTCTTATATCCGGGTTACAATGTATATATATATATAAGTAAAACCCGGATATAAGAGAGATTTTCTCTGGTCCCAAATTAGAGCCCATACTTACTTAAACAAAATAGACCCAACCCGGATATAAGAGACTTCTTCTCCGGTCCCGACAACTCACTTATATCCGGGTTACACTGTAGTTCCCTTTCATTTAAATTTCGCTTTTTTTCTTTTAAACTAATTTCTGTCGCAATTGAGCGCTTCTTGGACTTGCTTCTTATAAACTTTTCCTCCTCCTTTCACCATCCTTATCCTCTTTACTTTTTCTCTCTCTCTCATTTTACAGAAATCTCTTTATTGTCATAACTTTTTTGTCTTGCTTCTCAGGCTGATATCATCAGATTGTTTTGGCTGCAGAGTCACGGGAAGTAACTTTTGAATATCCCTTAACTATGTGGATTTTATTGCCAACCTCGCAATTCATTACTACGATCTCCTTAATACGATTAAGGAGATCGGAGTAATGAAAAAAGTGCAAAAATACCCCCCCACCTCGAAAAAAAAATCTGTATCACCTAACGTCTTCCCCGGCCACTTACTTTCTATTCGTTTTCTTTCCTCCTCTCTTTTTTTTTTTTATAGCTTGCGTACATTCAGACAATTATTTATTTTTCCTTTTGACAAATTCTTTGTCTCAGTTGCTTATCCTATTCCTCTTTTCGTTTCTTTTTGTCTATCTTATTTGTTGTTCGCTATTTTTCATTCTTCCCTTCCCAATTTCCTGTTTGGGCCTCCATTCCACTGGCTATTAAACGCCCTGTTTTTCTTCCCATCCTGGACGTTGGATATTTTTCGTTCAAAATCATGGACTATATATATATATATATATATATATATATGAAATGCTAAGATCGATAGAGTTGTTCGTTCTAATTTATGTTCTTTATTTCTTTTTTAACTTATGGTAATCATTTCTGTTTTTTTTTTTTAGTTTACTTTTTGCTGTTTTGGTTTGTGGTTTATTTATAGAACTGGTAACCTTTACTTTTTATTTTGTTATTTATATCTATTATCTTTCGTTTTAGTTTTCGTACTTTCTGTAATTTCAATTTTCTCCAATAATAATCTATATTCACTCTTTGAAAGTGAATGTCGTATCTCGTTTGTTTCTTACTTTCTAGATCTTAGTGTTTTCCGATCTTGTCTTTCCTTCACTTTTACTGAGCTTCAAAGTAAGCTATTTTCTTTCTTTTTTTCAAAGCTTTTTTTTTTCAGAGCTACTTTGATAATTTTTTTCTTTTCTTTCTTGGTATTTTTCTATTTTTTCTTTTTTTCCTTTTAGAGCTTAATAGTTCTTATTTTCTTTTCAACGATTTATATTTTCCTATCGTCTTTCTTTTTTTTTTTCTTTCAAAGCTTGTATTTTCCTATTTTCTTTCGACGCTTAGTATTTTTCTATTTTCATTTTTCAGAGCTTCTTAGTCCAGTTATTATCGTCTACAATCTCTTGCACGATTGACTGAGATATAATATTCCCGATTTGGAACAAAGAAAGGATTCTTGAAACCAAATCCTCGAAGGCAGCACTTGGTAAAATGTCCAAAGACGAATTTTAGAGAAACTGACAATTCTTCACCTCTCCATAGATCCTTCTTCCCTATCTTGGATGAGTGGCCTGCATTTTCTGGCCTATTTTGGATCCAAACCGTATTATGCGATTCCCTTAATCTTTGGTAATCTCTATGAAGATAGGCAGTCGTTAATAAAACCAACATTCTTATAGGTACAAAGTAGAGAGCAGAATCGAAGACCGGGCGACTTGACGTATGATTGAAGCGGGGTGTGGTGTGGATAATATTTACTGAAAGATACATTTGAAGCGTTATCCGTTTGTTCCCAACTCAATCGCCGTTAACTAATGGCGTGCAGACAATTTTGAAGCCATCGAGTGGTGTTACAAATGTGCCTTACCGTTTTGAATACCTTTTAATCAATCCGAAATTTTGGATTTATTTGATAGTGTCTACATTGGAATAATATTGCGGTTGATGCGAAAGATCATACGACAAAAGCCCTTAGTTTTTACACTCTTGTGAAGTATAGGAAACAAGACTGATTCTGGCGGTTATTTTTAAAGTTCAAATATACATAAACCCTCCCTTGCTACTGGAGAGGCTTTCAGCAACACGCCAAATATTTTTCACGAATATCTAACTCTCGTCATGTCAAATTTTCATAGTTACTTAAGCAGTTTTCATAAAGGCTTCGAAATTTCTTTAGGATTACCTGGATTGAAAAACACAAAGTGCACAACGGCAGGTAAGTTATGTCTGCAACACCAATGATAATGATATTAGTCAGACTCGAAACAATATAATTACGAGATATTTGTTCACACAGAGCATACTGGAATTCTTTTTTTAAATATTAGTGTATTTATTCACTGGTGCTTCCTCCAAATAATGTAGTTGTTGATTTATGACACGGTATTCTGCTCGTTTTCTTTTTGGAAGTGTTGCCTCAGTCTGAAACGGTTACATTGCTAAGGCTTATCAAGCATATAACGGAGGTTTGATACTAATTGCTTCTTATAGAAATTACAGCATAAGACATAATTAATAGCCGTCAGATAGTGAAAGAGTTAAAGACATGAGCTTTGTATAGGGAACATTAAAACCAGGCGGAGACTAAATTTTACTTTCTGGGTCGTCTCGTAATAAATGACCCCCAGTTCGAAACAGAAATCCGAAAGCACATAGCAATAGCAAAAAATGCTTTCCAGAATTTAAGTTATGTATTAAGAGATAAGAAAATGTTACAAATAAACTAATAACAGAATGCTGAAATCCATGTCATTCGTAATCTAGATGGCAGAAAATATTGAACAAAGTGTCTTCTTGTCCCAAGGACAATTTCTAACGGCAAGTACGAAAAATATGATGGACAAACATGAAGATGTTTTAAGCAAAACAACCAGAAAAAGTTGGTTGGTTGGTTGATTGATTGATTGACTGACTTTGCTTAAACGCATATGAATCTCTGAGTTATTCAATGGCGGAGTCTAACTATTTTAATACAATTTTATGTTTCAGTTAAATATATTCTAAACGCATTTGTATGCCTCCAGCTACAGATAAAATGTATTGTAGGTAATTTTAATATACATAGGTATCGTTGATAATTTTCATATAATAACTTATTGCTGGTATTTTGACGATAAAAATGTCTTTTTATACTTTCATAGTATCGGACCCTAACAGCTGCTAACACCCAGGATCAGATTGGACATGTAAACAACAGTAATTTAGAGGAGGTTCTACGCTCTTCAAAACCTACCTGTCAGAGGCCTTTGCTGCCGGGTGGAGTTTATCGTCATATTGACGACTAGCCAAAAAGAAACGGGTTAAATATTTTGCATAAGGATAATGTAAGAAGGTATAGGGAATTTAAGACTCACAAGACAAGAGAAGCAGGGATACAATGAGTAACATATATAAAACATATAAAAAAGTTTGAGCAAAACAAGGACAAAGAGTAAAAACAGGAACTGGTGGAAAAACATCGGAAAGGTGTGGAGAGCCATGATCATCCTCACTTCGTCCGAAACAATGACATGAAGAAGTTCAATAACATTTATAAACACGGAATGTAAGAAGAAAAATAAACACAGTTGTGTCTGGGGAATTGTAAAATAAGTAACGGAGTTTTTGGAAGAAAATATTAAATTAAATAGAAGTAAAGATTTTAAAAAATCTGGATAAAAATAATAAAATTTGGATAATACTGCACCGGAAATACGTGCGGTCAAGAAATATACAAAGAAATGAAAAAAAATGGATGATAAAAAAGATATGTGCGTGAGGATAAAGATGGATATCTAAAAAGTAATTGTAAATATGGCAGCATTAATTGTTGGCAATTTTGTTAGAGTCAAAGAAAAGAGGACTGAACTGTCAAGTAATGTTTGTCCTCCTCTATGTTA